CTGATCTGGTAATCGCTGAACCGGTGATTTGTGCTCGACTAGCCCTTTTTACCTTGCCTCTGGCGAAGGAACACTGATTGCCCTTGAACTGAATCTCTGACCTAGCAAAGTCTATCAGCACAAGTTCGATGAACCTCGGGGGATATCGGAGCCTTCTGAAGCCATGGTTCCAAGACTACCCTGCAAAAGAGAAAACAGACAGCACCTCAGCCTGATTTCACGACAACCCATATGAGCAAAGCTGAGTGAGTGTACTCTCTACTGAATTCTGCCCAAAATTCTGCCCCAAATCTGAGTCTGATACCCACAGATAAAGCTGACTCCCAAATACTGATAGTAATGCCCGCAGGCCTGATGCCCAGACTTGCAAACTGATACATGCATTCCTGTAGAGACGCACTCTAAAGCACATAGCAGACAAGTGAGAGCCAAAACACCCCTATGTTAGGGTAGGGTTTCCCTGTCCTATTTTGTCAGGAGCTAGGGTTTCACTACGCACGCAGCGGCTTCAAACAACCTATAAACGGGTAAGCAACCTGTCCTAGTTTGGAATGGTCACTATGGATCCGAATATGCACTAGGTCGAATGGTCAAAGAGGGTGCCCCGGTAAAAAATCATCAATTTGATAAATATAAACTAATTTGGCAAAAATAAATGTCAAAAAAATATTTTTTAATTTTTAAAAATTATTTCTACCCACCAAAGATAAAATTATATAAAATTAATAAATTATTTAGACATTTATTTTATTTTTTTTACCAAATTAATTTTTATTATGTGTTTAGATGATGATCATCATATAATGGATGGTTATTAGACTTTTAATGTGTAATCGATATATTTATATATGAAATATTTTTAGTTTTGAATTTTTTGATTTAATTGATTGATTTAATAATAATATGAAAATTGTCGCCATATTTGACTTTTGAAAAAATAAAAACTAATTTTTAATGAAAATAAAACAACCACTGATTACACATAATAAAAATTAATTTAGTAAATAAATAAATATCTAAAAGATTTATCAATTTTACATAATTTTATCTTTAGTGAGTAAAAATAATTTTTAAAAATTCAAAAATATTGACATTTATTTTTGTTAAATTAATTTATATTTTATCAAATTGATAATTTTTCCCTTGAAATTAAGCAATGATATCTTCAATTATCCTTATTTGAAACAAATTTCAAAATTCAGAATCAAATGTGACACAATTAAAAAATTAGAAATTAAAATAATACAAAATTTAAACTATAAAGACCGTTACTATAATTCACCCAAAATTCCAACTACAAACTATAAAGACCGTTACTATAATTCGTCCAAAATTCCAACTACAAAGATAGTGTAGCAAAGAAAGTAATAGTTGGGAAAGTTTGAATTAATAGACAGGCGGTGAGTAATCCATTTTAGTGCACCAGTCTTCGTTTCGCATAAATTAAAATAAAATATTTTGTTTAAAATAATCATAAAAAAACAAAATAAACATTTTAGTCAAATAAAATAAATTATCACATCTAAGTTATAATCATTTTATTTTTTTTCTCATAAAAGTCAAAAATTCTAAAAAACCTATTCTAAACGAGATTTTTTAACCACAGGTTAAAATAATAAAAAAAAATTAAAAAAACCAACCCGCATCCCAAACGAACCCTAAGCGTTATTGGTTGACTTTCAGTTTATTAAGGCCTTGTTTGAAAAGTTAGCTATTTAACTATTTCAGCCATAGTTGTTTTTGAGAAGATAGTTGATTTTTTTTGTAATTAATTTGATAATTGTAAAAGAAAAAGTGAAACGATTATGAGTTGTTTAAGATTTGATATATAAGTACACTTTTTGACTAAAAAAATAGAGGAAAAAAAATGTTTAGAATAATTTTTTGACTTTTTATAAAAAGATGTGTAATAAAATATTATAGTAAAATCAAAATGACTTTTTGACTTTTTATGAAAAGATGTGTAATAAAATATAGTAAAATTATGTTTGTTTTGATGATAGTTGTTAGTGTAAGAATTGTTCAATTATTTTTATATAAAATAATAAAACAAATAAAAAAAATATAAAAAATTAAACATTAATATTTTTAAAAAAATTCCTAATATATAAAAAATAAAAAAATTTCCAATCCCCTCACTATTTTTCTAATACCATCTCTACATTCTCCTTCTCAATTCCCCTTCCAAGGCCTTTACTAATACCAAGGGATTAGGAGTCCCCTCCCCATCTCTCAAAACAAACACCCCATATAGTAATTCCACCTCACTATCAATCTCAATCCCCTCCCTATAACCCCAAACAAACGGGGCCAAAGATCCTTGGAAACAAAAGTAATGGTGTTTGGTTTTTCTAAGCAAGTACATCCCATAATAGTTAAACCATAAAGCATATATATATATATATATAGATATCTATAAGGTAATATTTTGGTCGAGTCGGTTTGGTTGATTTTTTATTTTAAAAATCTGATTTCTAATCGAAAATCTGAAAAAAGTGGGAATTCCAACCACAATCGACCTTGAAGCTGGGTGAACCTGCCCGTACCATGAACGGGAAGGTCGGGTCGGATATACGAGTTATTTAGATTTTTGCATACCCTAATTGTTATTAGTCTAATAGTTCAAAAGGAGAGTTTTTTTTACTTTATTTATTTTTTAAAAGTGGTATTAGAATGATTATTTGTATGGTTGTTATACTTTTAAAACAATTGTTATACTCTTAATTTTTGACTATTGTATCTTTAATTTTTGTAGAAATAAATACCAACCAGCTAAAAAAAAATCCAAAATTGCTTTAGAGAATCCAAACTCATAACTAAAGCCGTGATAAAGGCAGATAATCATTCTATTGCATTTCATTCTAATTAGCCAAATACAACATAAGAGTTCCTAAACTAAATAAACAAATAAATTTTAAAAAAAAAACTATAGGTGAAATAAAATGATGTTATATAAGGTTTATTCCATTATATTTTTCTTCCATAAAAAAATTATAGGTGATATAAAATGATGTTATATAAATATATAAGGTCTATTCCGTTATATTTTTCTTCCATCAAACAAACACTACTTTAAAATCAAAAACTCAAATGTTAATGAAAAGAGATGTGCAACTCGCTCGTACCTTGCATAGGCCTCCCTACCTAGTATACTATGTGTGTGTGTGTATATATATATATATATATATATAAGTGTTCCACAATGTAACGCCCCAACCCTTCATACGTCATCGATATTGTCCGCTTTGGGCCACGCCCGCATGAATTTGTTCTTTCCAGTGGGTCACCCATCTCAGAACTACTCCAGCTTAAGCACGCTTAACTGTGGAGTTCTGTTAGGGATTTCACCACCCGGGAAAAGGCCTCGATGCTATATAAGGGTCCAAGTTTTTTACTTTTATAGCCCAGTAACTCCCCCTCCATTCCTGATGTGGGACACCGGGGCCTTACAATCAACCCCCCATAAGGCTGCACGTCCTCGTGCAGAAGTCTGCCAGCTCGCAAGCCCGCCCACATGCATCGAGAACGCCCCAACCCTTCATACGTCATCGATATTGTCCGCTTTGGGCCACGCCCGCACGAATTTGTTCTTTCTAGTGGGTCACCCATCCCAGAACTACTCCAGCTTAAGCACGCTTAACTATGGAGTTCTGTTAGGGATTTCACCACCCGGGAAAAGGCCTCGATGCTATATAAGGGTCCAAGTTTTTTACTTTTATAGCCCAGTAACTCCCTCTCCATTCCCGATGTGGGACACCGGGGCCTTCCAATCAACCCCCCATAAGGCTGCACGTCCTCGTGCAGAAGCTTGCCAGCTCGCAAGCCCGCTCACATGCACCGAGAGATGCCAGGGGCCCACACTCGGTACTCTAGAGAGTCAGCTTTGATACCATTTGTAACGCCCCAACCTGTAGACGTCCCCGAACGCCCCGGGAGGAACGAGCTCCCGTTCTGTTCATTTGGGGTCACTACAGCTCAGGACTCTTCAAATCGTCACGGTTCTAAGTCTGAACCAAAGAGTCCAAATCCGGCAAATCGTTTTGAGAAAACAGATTTTTGAAAGAAGTGCCAAACATGGACTGCTTTGCCAGATACAGAGTCGCCACCTAAATATTTTATTTTGGGAAATTTAGGAAACCCTGACTCGGTGCCAAAAGGCCACGTGTCCGTCATCACCAAAGTTGCATCGGCTCGGGAACTTGGGTACGATTAGGGAAGGTCACTTCGTGAGCACCCCCGCTCGCCCGGTCATAGACCGGCCTCTACTAACCATCAACCGTCCACTTTTATTCCTCGACGGGATGTGCCTAAAGGAACTTTGCTTGCAGCCACTGCCAAGGATGGCAACCAAGGTATGTATGTTTTATGTTACATTGTTGTAGCACACGTGCACACTTCAACGTCACCGCTGAAGGTCAAAAACCAAGTCTTGATTTACACTGGTTTAGTAGTTTTTTCGAAATTTGTGGGCCCAAACATGACATGTTCCCAATATGTTGTACTAATGTTAATTCACAGGATTATTCCCAGTTGCCTTTGCTGTTGTTGATGCCGAGAATGCATCTAATTGGGAGTGGTTTTTGCGTCAATTAGTCAAAGTTGTAGATGGTAGTAAGACGTTGACGTTTGTGTCTGATTGCAATGCCGGTTTACTCCACACGATGCCTATTGTCTTCCCGACAGCACACTACGCATTCTGTTTGTTACATCTTCAAACGAACTTGAGAGATCGTATGAAATACGTAAACGCTGAACGAAAACTCGGGCTTACACGCAAGTTACGAGAATGTACCTATGCACCCGTAGTGGTTTCATTCAACCACAACATTGAGCTATTGAAACAATGTAACCCAACTGTTGTTGGTAATTTTTAAAAGATTTGCATCCACAACATTGGTCAAATGCACATTTCAAGTAATGTTTCGTAACGACCCCTTGCACAAATTTTTTCATTGAATATTGTCTTCGTACACCAATAGCATTTTTCTACATTTTGCCAGGGGTCGGAGATATAGTGACATGTGCTCCAATGCTACCGAATCATTCAACAACTGTGTTCAGAAAGCTCGGCATCGACCCATTACTCAGTTGGTGGATGGGATTAAGGGCCAAATCATGGAGCAGAGGTCTAAACGTAAAGTTAAATCCAGTGTTTGGGTCGGGGAGCTTTGCCTGAAGATGGCAAAGGTTTTGGAATCGGCGTACAATGACAGTAGGTCGTGGATTATTCGTCAGTTCAAGGACAATGTGTTTGAGGTTCGTTCACACCTATCAGTGTTGGTCGATTTTAGGGCATGTACATGTTCATGTTTCCAATGGCAATTAAGTAGATTCCCATGCTCGTATGCGGCTGTAGCTTTCCAAAATAGTAGTAAGAACATATATGACTTCATTGATTCATTTTACTATGTGCACGAGTTTAGGGCGGCGTATTCTGGGGCTAATCACCCAATTCCTACAATAAGGAAACCAAATTTGGCAACAATGGATTATCTCATCGCACCACCTATTTTTAAACGCCCACCTAGAAGGTCCAAACAGAAATGGGTGTTGTCCAAAGGTGAGGTGGTTCAACGGATTCAATACGGCCGTTGCGGTAAAATGGGTCATCATAATAGGAAAACATGTGAGGAACCAATGTAGCGTGGTGGACATGTATGGCGGTTCTACTTCGCTGCCAAACTATCATAGCTAATTCACATCCCTTTATTTTTCATTTGCGTTCAAATTTATGTTCATGTTGTTAAATCGTATACGTTAATTCACAATTACATTACATTTGCGTTATTTCCCAATTCGCAATGTCGACGCTATAAAATAAATATGGGTTTTCCATTTTATTTTTTATTTTTTTTTGTGTATCAGCTTATCATGTTCGCACCGTACAATTTTTCACATTCTTAACGTGAATGTTATCTATTTGTTTCTCGCACGACACTTGGTTTTACGTGTTGTGGCAAAATGTTTTACAACATTATGAAAACATCCACCGGACCAATGTACCGTGGTGGACATGTATGGTTGTTCTATTTCGCTGACAAATTATCATAGCTAATTCATATACCTTACTTTTCCGATTATTTGCACATTTGTGTACATATTATTACATCATATACGTTACTTCAAAGTTCCAATACTCTTGTTTTATTTCACAATTCGCATCGTTCACGCTATATACATAAATTTTTTCTCCCAAATGATTTTTGTTTGCCTATCAACTTACCATGTCCATACCTTACTAACTATTTTATTAAGTTTACAATGTACTAATTGCATTTTCCGGTGCGAGTGTTGTGAGATTTAGTACCTTTTTAAAATAAACCAACTTTGGGTTTCAACGCACATTCGACTTCTAATCACAAATTTAAGTCAATCAGACTGAATACTAGCATTGTTTTTTCCCAATACGGTATTAGGTGTGACACTAACGGATACTAACGCTTATCGTTCGGTGTTTTCTTGTTCACATTACCCTATGATGTGTTTAGCACACAATGCAGTGTTGGGTTGGATGTGAAATGTAGCAACTAAACTTCATTTGCCGTTGGGCCAAAATGCTTAACCAAATTAGGAAAACATGCAACGAAACCAATGTGTCGTGCTGGCTGTGTATGGCTATTCTACCCAAACAATATTCATACCATTCGCCTAAGAATCTTGACACTGCGAATACGCAAACTGACATCATTTCATAACGACATTATACCTAATAATTAATAAAATGCCATTCCCAAGTATTAGCTGAACTTCAAAACACTGTTCAAGCAAAACAACATATCTATCTACAAAACAGTACTAGCAAAAAATAATCTTAACCGTTCACCACTCAAAAAAATACCTAAACAAATCAACAACCAGACATCTGGTTACTATTACCATTCAAACATAAATCATAATAAACGTCACCATTAACACTAAAATACTGAGTCCTGGGTAGGGCCAAACACATTACTTGATCCGTGCACACAACCCTCTTGTCAGGTCATTGATGAACGTCCTCATCATCATTGCAAGAAACCTGAATTCAAAAGTCAAATGGGTCGGGTTTTCAGTTCGGACCAAGGTCCAAAAACAGAAGCCAAGAGGGCTATCAACTTATGCAAAAATTGGGCCAAATAAGGGATTGAACTACAAGTGCCACATGGAGACACCAAACACTGTTGAGCCCTTCTCCAATGTTGAAGAGGGGCTCAAAATATGCCTCATATCAGTTTACAACATGCTCGAAAATAAATTTCTCATGGGTCAAAAATAGCATGCAAAACTATGACATACAAGATGATCAATGAAGCAAGTGTATTATGGAGGGCTCAAACAGGGTTGAGCCCTTAATGAGAAGTGAAGATGAGCTCAAAATATGGCCCTTTTCAGTTAGGGCTGGAGCTTGAAACCAAAAGGAAGTGGGGTTTAGAAATAGATCAAGAAAAGGGGTCAAAAGGATAAAAGTGTTACTCACCCTTGAAGATCAATTCTTTGGTTGCTTCTTGGACCAAATTTGTTGCTTCTTAGCTGCTGGAATGCCTTTCCTTGCTCTTGAAATGGAGTGGTGGTGATAGAGCTTGGTGTTGTAGTGTAAATGGTGGTTAGGGGCTTAGGGTTTTTTGAAGAATTGAGAAGGAAGAAGATGGAGATAGCTATGGAGACTTGAAGAGCAAAGTTTCTAACCCCTCTAATGCATGTTGGTAGCTGGTTATATGGACCAAAAAAAGGGTGTAAAGGTGGGGCATAAAGGAGAGCAAAATTCCCCCAAAAGGGTCCCCCCGGATGTAGATATTTTTGGGAGAAAACCAAGGCACAGCTGGAATGCACTCAACCTGAAGAAGCAGGCCGGCCTAACACTTTTGTTGCAGGTGGCCAGCCGGCCACTTAACATAGCCGGCCGGCTAGGTCAAAGAAAAAAACGGCCGGCCGGCCAGAAAAAAAGGCCGGTCACCCCCTAGGATGAAGCCCCAGAAGTTAGCTTTCCAATGGCGCAAACCTTGCATTAAAATTCCTCCTGTAGAAAAAGTTATGCCCTTTTTTCCGTGAAGCCGCGCAGATTCAGTCCAAGCGGAGTTCAACCAACCACATCTCTCCCCCCCGGACTTGGACTTGGGAGACTCTTGAGTGCAAAATGAAGCCCCGGAAGTAAGCTCTCCAATGGTGGTGGCCTCATATCTTAATTCCTCTTGTGCAAAGAGTTACGCCCGTTTCGGTGAAGCCGCGCAGCTTTTTCTCCTTCCCGGATTCATGCTGAACCACTTTTGACCAAAAAGAAGTTGGCTTTTCGACTTATCTACTTGTGATTGTGCCTCGTCTTAGTTGACCTATTTATATTTCCTCTCTATTCGTGCTATGTTGTGCAACTCGGCTTCTCTCTCTGGCTCTCCTTCGTGGTCGCCCATCTAGTTTCTAGCTCGTGAACATTAGCATCGCAACTCTTTCTCTTTGCTTCTGGTTCGCGATTGTGTTCGCACTCATACATCTACATTTGCGTCTTCGTCTTCGACTTTGACTTCGGATTTTGGTTTTAGGGTCCTCCCAAGTGTGTACATCACAAATATGTGGTTCAAAGTTCAAGAAAGTGGGCCCAAGGTGTTCAACATTGGCCCGGAAGAGGAGGGGCAAAAATGGAAAGAAAAATTAATGGCCGGCCATAAACTTTTAGGATCCTTCCAAGTGTGTAGATCACAAATATGTGGTTGAAAGTTGGCAACACTAACTCCAAGGTGTTCAACATTGACCTGGAAGTTGCAAAAACGGGTGTCGGAGGGCTCCGGAGGAGAGATAACTGGTTGCTGGAACAATTACTAGCCTCCCATCCTTCCATGGCCTTCCTAATGATGAAACAGAGGTACCTGCCAAAAATGAACAAAAACCGATGCAAAACGAATACTCGGGAGCCAAAACACGCAGTTTGGGATCCCGAAAATGGGCTGTTAAGCACCGAAAGTGGCGTTCGGCCACGAAGTGGGTTTCCAAGACCCCAGTGTCCCTCAAAAGGGAGCAAATAAGAAGTATGCCGAAAATCGGGGCAAACGGAGATGGTTAGGCGGTCCCAAACCGAGGCACACGGCCTGACGGCTCCGAAAACCGGGAACCGGGCTCCGAAATGGGCAAAATGGCCTACGGCCACCAAATGTAGCCCACGGCCACTGAGAGATGGTCTACGGGACCTCTCCCTCCCCTCAGGAAAAGAAACAGAGAAAATCGAGTCTGGTTCGCAAACCGAGGCAAGGCACCGAAGAAGGTTCGGAAGTCCGGAGGCGGGGCTCGCAGCCGCGACTCTGAGGCCTCTGAACAAGCACAACATGCAATATCACCGAGTGCTCAACTGGTGATGTCTGAGTCTTAAGGTCGGTCAAAAATGGGGTGTCTACACAACCCTTCACACGTCATCGATATTGTCCGCTTTGGGTCGCGCCCGCACGGATTTGTTCTTCCCTGTGGATCACCCATCCTAGAACTACTCCAGCTTAAGCACGCTTAACTGTGGAATTCTATTAGGGATTTCACCACCCGAGAAAAGACCTCGATGCTATATAAGGGTCCAAGTTTTTTGCTTTTATAGCCCAATAACTGCCCCTCCATTCCCGATGTGGGACACCGGGGCCTTACACGCAATGTACTTATTTTTGTTCTCGTTGATTTCTTTAAATCTTAATCTCATTTCAACATTGACAAAACTCTGTTCATCTTATTCACAAAGTACCTTCTCTTTATATAAAAATGTGTATAGATCCCTGTCCCCAAAAAAACTATTTATATGATTTTTGAACTTCTTTATACTAAAAAAATAATTTGGTAGCTGTGATTATATAATATGAAGAAAAATATTTTATGTTCCTCAATTTTTGAAGAATTATTGAAAGCTTCTTTATTGATTTCAATATCAGATTACATGGATATATTTATACAATATATCTAACAAACTAATAATATCCGATATATTTATACAATATATCTAACAAACTAATAATATCCGTAACTAACTAACTAATCTAACAAACTCTATCTTCTAGCTAACTAGGACATAAGCTGTAGCTTCAATTTTGGCTTTAGCTGATTAGCTGTTAATGACAACTCTTGTTGTGGCTTGAGCAGCTGATGCAACTCTAAATGCTGTGGGTCTGTAGTTGTAAAATTATCAATTTCTCAAATGAAAGGGTTCTTACTAATTGAGCTAGATACATGTAATTATTCTACGTTCAAAAATTACATTTTTCATAATTTTATAAAATATAATCTCAAACCTTTTCATTTCATTTAAACAGAACATAGTTATTTATGAAATTTACATATATATTTTTTTATCTCTTCTCCACAAACTTACTCGTTAGCAGGATAATCCTTTGTAGCTCGAATCTCTCTGCCCCGAATGGCCCGACTGCTCAAAACGACGTCGTTTTGAGCAGTTTTTTTTTTCGGGGCAGAGAGATTCGAGCTACAAAGGATTATCCTGCTAACGAGTAAGTTTGTGGAGAAGAGATAAAAAAATATATATGTAAATTTCATAAATAACTATGTTCTGTTTAAATGAAATGAAAAGGTTTGAGATTATATTTTATAAAATTATGAAAAATGTAATTTTTGAACGTAGAATAATTAAAGTTTTTTTTTTTTTTTTTTTTTTGTTGATCTCTATGGTGGGTTTAGAAACTATA